AACAAAAGCTTAAAAGCTGCCAAGCATTGTAAAAAGAAAAGATAAGGAGAGACCATCAAACAAAGGTCAGAGGGAATTTCTTCTGATTGTATCCTTATGGGACTAAAGGTAAATTCTTGAACTTCCAACACGTTCTTATATCTAAACTGAACTAGGCCATCACACACTGTTAGGAGCTTATTAAAATAATATCACACTGCTAGAAAAGAGGAACATTTTTAGAAATTTATGCAAAAATCAGCATATGATTGTGTAAGGGATTTCATTTTATTATCAGTCTGTTTTAGAGGAAGTAGTAAAAACAAATGACATGGAGATTTAAATAAGTAATAATGTTGAAAACTATGCTTTCTGCATTTGCACATAAGGCCCAAATTTCTAACCTTTCCTGGAGCAGCCCTGAGCTTTTCCTGAGAGAGTTTCAGAGAGACAATCCACAAGTCCTTAAGACCAGGTTCCTCAAGGATGGGGAGCTACCAGCCTCTGTGTAACCCACCTTAAAGCATGGGACAGACAAGCTCTTTCCTCAAACACTGCAGTGGATGTGAAATGTGTGACTTTGCACAAAAAATAAAGAAGAAACAAAAAGTTCAAGAAATGTAACTAGAATAGTTTTTTTTTTTTTAACTAAAAAACTGGGATAGTTGAAAAACAAAGCAAACAACAACAAAAACAAGATTGATAAGCTTAATTACCAAAAAGTAACCCACAAAAAAATACTAACATTTATTGTGAAAAGTTCTAAGCAACCTAAAAGCCCATTGAAAAATTATTTAATCTCAATTTAATTCTCCAAAACAGACTTGCAAAAAAACCTTGTAAATATCATAACCATTAAAGAAACTGAGTTATCATTTTTAAATCTAGAGAGAGAGAGTAAATGAGCTGAAATGGATTTACAAGTGAGCTCTACCCAGCATTCAAAAACCAGATCATCCCAATCTAATTAAAATCCTTCCAAAAAGTGAATATAGTAGGAATAAACATTTTCCAATTCAAAGTTTTAGGAAAACCCAAAGATGTGGAGGGCCAAGCTGCCAAGAAAATGCAAATACAAATAAGCATACTTTAAAAGCCCCAATTGCACTAGTAGGCAACATTTAACTTAAAACCACAATTAGATGCCATTTTTTCTTCTCAAATTTGCTTATTTTGTAGGTTGTACCGTGAAAACTTCTAGAAGATCAAATTATTACAACTTTTATGGAAAACAACCAGAGAAATTTGGCAAGATGAATCAAAGTCCTTAAAACATATATATTTTTACTATAATGATTTCTATTTTAGCAAATAATCAGAAGTGTGGACAGATAGGGATATGTTTATTACAATATGATTTAAAACAAGAATAATGGATTTATATTAAAACATACACTTATGCAATATTGATTAAATCTATTCTAGCACATGCATTGAAATGAGTGGTTGACACCATATTAATAAAATGAAGGCCTGAAGTAATTCAAAGACTATTTAGTGACACAGAAAAAAATATAATAATATACAATATTATATATACACAGTGAAATTCAAAACTGGATATGGAACATAATCCCAAGTTTGTACAAGACACACTGAAGAGAAAGACACAGAAGACATCAATGTATTTACAGAAGTTATTTTTTACATTGCTAAGATTGTATCTGATATTTATTTTTTATTCCTTTGTTTTCCCAAGTTGTCTACAAGTATAAGTCACTTTGTAACCAGAAGAAAAACAATAAATATTGTTTTTAAGTTACCAAGTGAACATATCTCTGATGTGGAGGGTTGTAATTAGAATAGGTGTGAAGTGGAACTAATATGAAAACTTTGACGTCATTTTAGGAAACACTGCAGAAGAATTAACAAGAACAATATAGAAAGCACAAAATATTTGGAACTGGAAAGACACAATTTACCCTTGGGTCAGCCACATAATATTTATGTCTTATTTGGAGCTTCCTTATCTACCAGCTACAGATCCTTTGTGATCTGACATTGATAAGTTAATCTACTCAATGTTCCTGGAACAATATCTAAAATAGAGTAGGTTTCATAAAAGTTAGGACCTGTCACCGTACTGAAACCCTAATCTTATGCTTTGGCCTCTCAGTTTTGATCTTTTGCCTAAGATCATATTGATGTTGTCATTATTTTATCTTGTATAAGGGTCTAGCATGTAAGGTAGATTTAAAATGACATTGGATATGACTAAACACAAAAATACCTCTCCTCCAAGCACAGTTAGTTAAGAGAGGAAATAATTCATTCAGAGAAGGCTGGAAAATATGTTAGCTGAATTGACAAGTATTTGACTGATCTCACAAATAATTTCATATAGAAGTCAATCTAGTAGTATGTAGAAATGATTAAAGTGAGTCAATTTCTTAATGAGATAACACCCTAATTACCCATTTTATTCTCTATTGGGAATGTTAAAAATGAACAACAAAAAAAATTCACAATACGTTGAAGGGCAAAGTAAAAACGTTTTCACTCAACTGTTTCATAAATTATCATGTTACCATGTTCTTATTGAACATTAGAGGTATTAATAGAATCAATAAATAGTGATATGTAATCAGTATTTACTGTTGATAATTTTTTGTTGATTTTACTGAGTTGATTATCAAGAACTCATGGGAATATGAGGCACCATGTTTCCAAAATACAGACATATTTAAATAGACACAAAATACACTACACATTTGTACATAAATATTCTAGATCTTAATAACTGTTTGCACAATGGTTTTGCATTGGCCTATATTTTTATCATCTCAAGTAAACACTGCATGCCATGAAACCTTGAATTAACCAAGAAAATAGTTTGGTGTGAAAAAAATAAATGTTGCCTTTTCTGACATTGTGTTCTGTTTCTATCAAAGTGAAAAAATCGAGCAGCAATGTTTGCCTGCTTATTCTTTTCAGCTGAATGGAATGGAAAATTACAGAAAAATTGAACAAAGAAACTGCCTTGACCTTCTCAATTGCTTGGAAATGGAAGTATTTATTCAAGTATTTACTTGGTGGCCCTGGCTCATGGTGCCCTTGAATTAATAGAAGTGCTTTTCCAGAGATGTTAGATAAGCAGCTCAAGGCATATGCTTTCTTCACTTTGCCTCCACTAAACTTCTACATCTTGGGCCTGAAGGAAAATCCTTTGTAGAGTCTGTTCTATCTCACCTGAACTCCTGAAGCAGGTACCAAACATGTTTGCTGGTTTTCACCCTGATCTTTTTATGATCCATTTTCCATGGAGCTCCAAAGCCATTTTTTTTAAAAGTGTGAATTATTTCCTCTCTCTTCCACAAGTGTTGTCAATTGAGCTTTGAACCCCACTGAGAGTCTACAAGACCCTATGAGATTGGTCTCTATGTGACTTCTTCTTGCACCACTACCCCTTTCCACACCTGGTCCAACTACAACTGTTCAGTCATAAGTCCAGTCCTACTGGAGAACCCTTGCTCTGCTACTTATTCTGCCCTTAGACCTTCCCATGGCTGTCTATTTTTTGCATTCAGGCCTCAAGTATCATTTTTTCAGAGAGATCCTCTAACCTTCTAATTCTGCTCACTAGTTAGTTACTTTCCAATAGGTCTATTTGTATTTCCATACCACTTATCCCTGGCTGACACTATTTTATTCACATATTTTCTTATTTTATTGACTTTCTACTCACTGAAACTTTATCTCCATAGAGGCAAACAATCACATTCCCTGTTGTATTCTTCACCCCTAGAACAGTGACTAATACATAGTTCTCAGTCCATAAGTATTGTTTACGTGAACAAATCAATTCATCTGTGCCACTGGTCAATCGGGATTTCTATTTGCAAGCAATAGAAACTGACTTTAGTAGACTGCAGCAGAAAGGTATGGTAGTTAATTTTATGTGTCTGGGTCACCAGGTGCAGAGATATTTATTCAAACATTATTATGGATGTTTCTGTTATGGTGATTTTAGATGAGGTTAACAGTTAAGTTAGTAGACTGAGGAAAGCAGAAGTTCCCCCGTCTCCTCTGCCCAGTGTAGATGAGTCATCTAATCAGCTGAAGTTCTGAATAGAACAAAAAGACTGATCTCCCCTGTGAAAGAGAAGTTTTCTACCTGATTGACTTTGGGATACTGTTTTTTTCCTTCTTTGTCACTTCAGTTGAACACTGAGTCTTCCTGGGTCTAGAGTCTACTAGGTTTCAGACTAGACCTACACCACCAGATACCCTGTGTCTCCAGCTTACTGACTCACCCTCCAGAGCTTGGTACTTGTTAGTTTCCATAACCACATGAGACATTTCCCATTTTGCGCGTGCACACACACACATACCTGATTTGTTATTTCTCTGAAGAACTCTAAATAAAACAGAAGGATATCAAGAATCTCACAAAATAGTCAGGATAACTCAAGAAATAAGGTTAGATCAAGGCTATAAGGCTATAATGACCACCAAAATAACATGAAGTAACAGTCTTGCCAGAATGATGCTACTTCTAGTGGTGCTGCTAGTCACAGAGTCATGGCCACAGGACATCCTACCAGCGTTACTACCACCTCAACTGTTACTTGGTGCTAAACTCTCACTGACTCTGATTCTTTCTTTTTCTCTATGCTTAAATTTCCTTGCATTAGCAATCTTGGCCACATGTTCACAACCCTAATTGAAGGTAAATAATGAAAAAATAGTCTCTAACCTTTGAGGCTTTGTAGTGGAAAGTGGGTCCTATCTCCATAAAATCATACACTGTGAAAAGCAAACCATTGCTTTTTATATTTTATGATTAGTCATGAGTTGAAAATTCATTGGATCTTGCTATGCCCATAGCAAATCTTTACTTAACAATCCTTCTATTCTCTCCCTGATAAATATTTTCTAAGCCAATGACTGGTTAAAAAAAAAAACTTGACCAATCTCTCCACTGGTTAAATTAGCCTCATAAAATATAAAGAGCTCTACAAAAAATCCTAATGCGCTCAAGTGTCAATAGGTAGCTATAAAAGAATGATGAAAAGATTTACCTCCAAGGCAAAGCCAAGACTTCATAACCACAAAATCTCCTTGGTGAGCACCCATTCTCAATGGAGAATCCACTGAGATTCCTGACCCAGAAGTTGCATTCCCTGGCTGAGTGATCACAGATGGGTCTCTACATCTTGATTCCTTTACCTATAAAATGAAAATAATAATAAAAGTATAATAAGAATCTTATATCACTGCCTCACCAAAGTTTCCTGGGGATGAATAATAGGCCAATACATGAGTAAGCCTAGGATAAAAGATGTGCAAATAGAAGAAAACATCAATGTTATTGTTTAAGTAGCAAGACAATTTCAATTGAAGGTCATTCTATGCTAATTATAAGAGTTTCTATCTCAGTCCATTTTGTGCTGCCATAACAAAAATACTTAAGCTCCTTAAGCACAGTGATTTATTTTATTTACTTTATTTTAATGGTAATGGGTAATGGGTAGTGGGTGGAGGGGTACTAGGGATCAACCCAGGGCCTTCTATCACTGAGCTGCACTCTCAGCCAGAGACTGGAACAGAATTTTTATAGTTTTTTAAAAATTTGTTATTTTTAGATATAAATGACAGTAGTATGAAGAACAGAATTTTATTTTCTCATAGTTCAAAAGTCTGGGAAGTCAAGATACCAGCAATTAGGTTGTCAGGTGAGGGCTGGTCTCTGCTATTAAGATGGTAATTTATTGCTGAATCCTCAGGAAGAGATGAACACTGTGCTCTTACATGGTGTCAGGCAGAAGGGCAAGTGAGCCAAACACTGTGAAACCTCCTTTATAAGGGCCTGAATTCTATTCAGAGGGGAGGACCTATAACTTAATCAATCATTTCTTAAAGGCCTCTCCTCTTAATACTATCACATCTCAATTAGGTTTCAACACCTGAATATGGAAGGTGATGTATTTAAACCATAGCAGCTACTATTTATTTATCTCTTGCTATGTGCTCTTAACATTCATGTGCCTTCATTCTTTCATTCTATCACCCTCTGACAACTTACTAAGTATAAGCATCACTCATCTATATACTCTCAAGGCCCTCTCCTTCCTTGTTGGCCTTGTGTTTCATATAGAGAAATTCCATCTAAAGTAGCTGTGTTAGTTAGCTATCCATCACTGTGACAAAATGCTTGAGAAAAATCAACCCAAAGGAGGAAAGATTTATTTTAGTTCATGGTTTCAGAGGTTTCAGTCCATGGTCACTTGGATTCATTGTTTCTGGGCATGTTGTAAGGTAGAACATCATGGTGGAGCAAACTTGGAGGCCAGGAAGCAAAGAAAGAGAAAGAAAGTGATTGGAGGTCCCACTGTACTCTTCGAGGGCCTACTTCTTCCAACTAGGCCCCATTTCCTAAAAGTTCACCACCTCCCAATAGCACTGGCTGGTGACGGAGCCTTTAGCATATGGGCCTTTGAGGGACATTTCAGATTCAAACCAACAGTAACCATACTCTGGTGTCCCTCCACAGACAAGGAAAGAATTTATTTGATTGATGAGTTTAGGGTAGAAAGGTGACCGTGTTTGTACTAATAAGTACAAATAAGTCACTTTTGCCCTATATATCATATTGGCCATTTTGTCCTAATACTTGACAATACCTGTATAGGGAATTAAATGTATATTACCTATGATTATTTATTAAATGTATACTACCTAGGATTATTTCATGCTCTGGCAGCCTAATTAATACATGGCATATTTGATGTATATTAACTGCAGGCAAACTCACCCTTATAGTATTTTAGCAGTTCTATCTTCATTCATAATGTCAGAATTATAGACTTTTTGCACCTGTGATCCGTTAAAAACACATATTCATTTTACCTTGCTAGCATGTAAGACATGGAAAATGTGATACATAAAGAATAAACGGAAGTCGTGGTGCTCACCATACAAGAGCAGCACAGTGGGCAGACTTTTTTACAGGCTCAGTTCAACGGAGAACAGAAAAAAGAAAACACAAATGTCTCTGCCCTGCTCAGAAGCCGGGCCTTTGTGTGCTATTTCCTGGCAGATGAAAAGCAGAGAAGCTGCAGCTTGCATTGCTCCCTGGGGATTGGAAGGAACAAAAGAAAAGTAAATACTCTGCTTCCAAGAATGACATTTAAGTAAGAATAGTCATTCTTTTCTTTTTTGTTTCTTCTTTCTTCTTCTTCTTCAGTTATTATTAAACAGGAAAGATCAATGGTAAGAAATAATTTCTTTAAATTTTTTTTTTTTTTTGGTTTGAGGTGTTGTTTTTTTTAAATCATATAACAGAGCTTATTTTGTGTCCCTCCTTCAAATTGTCTCTATATCTTTTGATTCTTTCCTAGTACAATTGAAATTTAACCCCTCCAATTTTTTTCCCAACGATATAATATTCCAGGCACTGCAGAGAGTACCCATGGTTAATGCTGAGTACAAATGCCTTCCCTATGTAACCTAACCCTCCCAAAGTTTCATACCCAGGACTTCAATTTATCTTACATCATATTATTGTGATCTGAATGTTTACCTCCTACTCCTAAATTTATTTGTTCAAATTCTGATCACTAAGGTGATAGAATTAAGAGGTAGGGAAACCCAGGTGATTATATTACAAGGGTGTAGCTCTCATGAAAGAGATGAGTGCCCCTATAAAAAAAAAAAGCCCAAGAGTAACCCCTCATCTCTTCTATTATGTATTGGATTTAGTGAGAAGTCACCATCTGTGAACCATAAAGTAGATCTTCACCAGACAGTAATCTACCCTGGGGTTTTTGATCTTATGACTTCTCACCTCCGAAACTGTGAAAAAATGAAGTTTTGCTGTGTGTAAGCCACCTACTTTATGGTGTTTTGTTAGAATACCCCAAACAGAGACAAGGACATATTTCCACCCCACAAAGATTAGCCATGAAGGGTAGCCAATATTTGAACAGATGCAAGGATGAATAAGAATATTATCATGTGCCACTTCTGACCTCAGTAGTATGCTCCTGGGCTCATCCGTGAGGAGTGACTTGCGATAGTCTCCAAAGGATATTTAGAGTTATGCTAGACTGCTCAGTCCCAAACCACATTGACACAGGGGCTTCCATTGCCACCTCTGTCAGCAACCCTATTCCAAATAGAGTACATGTGCAAGAGCCACCTTCTCATTCAATCTAAAAAAAATACCTTTGCCAAAATAATGTCTGGATGCTGCATTTGGTATCCTCATGCTTTAAACTCCAGCATGTTAAGACAGGTCCCAACTCTGAACACCTTTATTTATGTTTCTTCTTAACAGCGGGGGAAGTTAGACACTGAGATGAATCATCTGAAAAGAACAGAATCTTCTTTGGCAGTTTTTGCCAAGTAGATCCACAAAAGTCTCTGACCTTAAAAATATCACACAGTCTGATGAAAAGCTCTTGACCCTGGTGTTCTTACTGTCCTATTCTTATGGGTTTTTCCTTAACCCTCTGGTTATTCTTTTCTAGTATCTTTCTGGTGCATTTCTCCCTCTTTCTTTCATTGTGGGAATTACTTGGGCCTCCAATGTTGGGTCTTTAACACTCCTCACTGCAGATCATAAAGCCAAGGCCTTACAGGATCTTCAGATTACATGAACAAGCAGGCAGGTGGTACGAAAGACAAGTCATAGACTCTCTCAGTATTACCATCATATATACAGTAAAGAAATAGCTTTTCATTGAAAAGGAAACAAATAACAACAACAAAAATCCTCAAGCACAATCTTTAGTGGCAGCTGATATTCATTGTCAGGAAGCTAGGAGGGGCCAGCTGAGTCTGTGGAGAGGGAGGAATCCCCTGTGTCTCAGCTCTAGTCAATGTTGGCTTATGGGGAGCCACACTTTGCCCCTGGGCTGAGCTTGCTCCCCCTCCCTGGAGCAATGGGGGTACTGGTCTGGCATGCACATGAAAGCTGTGCAGGGCAAGTGGCCTTTACCCTTGTTCAGCAATGGAGCCTGCTTCAAGTCCTCCCTGGGAGTTATCTAATGGGGATGGGCAACCCCCTGAAACCTGATTTCCTTGCCTTATTTGGTGAAGAACATTCCATGGAACCTCCTTGTGCACGTCCTCCCTATAAAAATAAAGAGAATCCAGGTGCAAGTGCTCTCTCCAACAGACCCTTAGGTTGTCTGTCGAGCTGTCGCTGATTCCCGCAAAAGGAATTTTTGTGTGCTCTGTGGTTTCTTTGCCGTTTTCTTAGTTATTGATACAGCCAGTTCCTTTGTACCCAGCTCATATCACCATCCAGCCAGCTGGCAATATTGACCAATAGATAACAGGACTACTAGTGAAAATTGTCCATTTCTCAAAAGAATATGAAAATCCAGGCTTTCAGTTGACATCTTTGATATTTAAAATTTTGCTCAGCATAACACATCTGCATACAGGAACAGTCTGCCTCAGAGGACCTGTCTCCATGCCAGAAATGGTCAGTGGGTTGCTGTTGGGCAACTCCTTCATTTGTAGTTTGAAGTGGTTTTCAAACTTCACAGACAACCCATTGTGGGATCATGGAATAAGTCTAATGGGCATTTTAAAATGAAATAGAACTGCACAAAAGAAAAGAAAATTGGAAACAATAGCATATATCACAATTAATAAGGGTGTGTGTGTGTGTGTGTGTGTGTGTGTGTGTGTGTGTGGTGTGTGGTGGGTCACTGTAAAGGTATCTGTCCCTGAGACTGTAGTCCAAAGGTTTGAGTTACTGCCCATGTGACAATATTCCACTCCTTTACTGTCAATTGCCACTTAAATGCCAATGGCTGTAAAATGTGCTTCCGAGGGCAAGATTTTTGTCTTGAGCTTCAGACCTGAGTTTTCAGGTATATCATCATGCAGGTGCTCTGCAGGTCCTATAAATGCAGTGTAATAGAACAATTGCAATAATGAGCTTTGTAATCAGATCTGAGTTTGAATATTGGGATCTCAGCCTGTTTTCTTATCCTCAAGTCAGGATGGTTGAACTCTCTGAAAGGGGGGGTTGTCAGAATTTGCTCTTAAAACAGGACTTAGCACATACCAAAATAAACACTTGAGCACCAACGGTGTTCCAGGCACTGTTCTAGGCACTTGAGATTGCTGAGAAAACCCAGCCCCTCCACCTGAGACAGTGCTGCTTTCAGTAGTTTGAGAAAGGATGATTGAAATCAACAGAGCACTTCCTT